TTAGAGACATACCCTCAGAATGAATATCATGTAAAATTAATTAAAAACTTTGAACTTGAGAAATTACCGTTTTGGAGTCTACCATAACAATCATAAGTCTTGCTTTGTACTTGTCTATTGAACCATCTGCTTTCATTTTTTTCTTGAATATCTATATATATCCAAGAGGTTTAGAACCGGGTGAAAGATCCACCAATTCCCAAGTATGATTTTGCATAATGAATTCAATTTCATTATTAACAGCCTCTTTCCACAAAGGTGCTTCAGGACTTGTTATTGCTTCCTTAAAACTTTGAGGTTCATTTTCTAACAAATATGTCACAAAAGCTGGACCAAAAGATTTTGATATTCTCGTTCTCTTACTTCATCTTGGTTCATCATCAATTAAATCCTGTTGGTCTAGACCATTACTAGTCTCTTGCGTTTGATTGTCATTAGTCTCTTGACTTTGTGTACAATCATAAGTTCTTTTCTGTGAACTTAATTCTTGTCATTTCTCATAAGGAAAAATATGTTCAAAGAAAACAACATTCCTTGACTCTATAATAGTGTTCACATGTATATCAGGTATTTCTGATTTATAAGTCAGAAACTGATATGCACTACTATCATGTGCATAACTAATAAACACACAATCTACTGTTTTTGGTCCTATCTTAGTCTTTTTCAGAACAGGAACTTCTAGCTTTGCCAGACACCCTCACACTTTTAAGTATTTGTAGGAAGGTGGTCAACATTTTCACAATTCATAAGGAGTGCTATTTGTTTTCTTATGGGGTATTTTGTTAAGAACATAATTAGTAGACAAAATTGCTTCCCCCCACAAGTTCTGCAGTAAGCCTGAACTTAGTAACATGACATTTATCATTTCTTTAGGGGTTCTATTCTTCTTTTCAGCAATGCCATTTTGCTGTAGAGAATAGGGTGTTGTAGTTTGATGAATAATGCCATGTTGTGCACAAAATTCATTCAAAGGTGCATCATATTCACTACCCCTATCATTTCTAACCATTTTAATGATTTTACCAAGTTGATTTTCAACTTCAATTTTAGCCCTGTTTGGTATAGCTTAATTTTAGCTTATTTCAACTTTCAGCTTAATTTAAGCTATTTTGATGTGTTTGGTTTAGCTTAACAATATAACTTACAGCTTTTTGTAAGTCAGAAATTAATTTATTCTTTGAGTGGAGCAGGAGAAGCTTAATTTATAAGTCAGAAATCAGTTTATGTTCATAGTTATAAGCTATAAGCTGTTAAGGTATAAGCCATAAGTACTTTCCCACAGCTCTACCAAACAGGGCTTTTGTAGAGTTTAAACATTTCCAAGGCTTCATCTTTACTTTTAAGTAAATATATATAACAATATCTTGTGCAGTCATGGATAAATGTTATGAAATACTCTTTGCCTCCTCTAGTTTGAACAAATTTAAGATCACATACATCAGTATTAATTAATTCTAGGGGTTCAGTTTTTCTTTCAACCAATTTAAATGGAGCCTTAATTAGTTTTGTTTCTACACAAATCTCACATTTGTGATTAGGATCAATTTCAAAGTTTGGTATGTAATCCAAACCAATTAGTCTACGCAAAGCATCAAAATTTACATGTCCTAATCTACCATGCCATAAATTTGACTGAAGAATATAAGCAAAAGATGTGTTATTCTTATTAACAATAGATTTTGGTACAACAGTCATTACATTTAACTTAAAGAGACCATCGCTCATGTATCCCTTACCAACATACATACCACTATTTGTTAATACAAATTTATCAGACTCAAATATAAGCCTAAAACTATTTTTACTTAACAAAGAACTAGAAACTAAATTCTTTCAGATGTCTTTTACATGCAGTACGTTGTTGAGGGTTAGTTCCTTCCCCAATGTTATCTTCAAGATTACTTTCCCTTGTCCAACCACAGCAGAAGTAGATAAATTTCCCATAAAAAGTTTCTCACCATTTGCAGCCTAATTATAAGTAGTGAACATCTTTTTGTCTGCGCGAATGTGTCGAGTTGCTCCTGTGTCAACCCACCATTCCATGGGATTTCCAACCAAATTAGCCTCAGACACCACAGCAGAGAGATTGATGTCATTTACCCCGTCAGAGATATAATCTTGTTCTATCACATTGGCTTGATTGGAAGTCTTCTTGCTTGTACTTCTTCGATCCTTCTTAGGGCGTCAACAATCAGAGGCACGATGTCTAGTCTTGCCACAGTTATAGCATTTCCCTTTAAACTTTTTATTACAATTGTTGTTACCTTGTTTAGGGCTATCTCCAGCAAATTTTCTGTTTTTGTTATGTGGTTTTGGCACTTGTTCAACCACATTAGCCTTGGACTCAATGGAATTTTTATTATTCCTCTTTTCAACCTTACGATTATCTTCCTCAATTCTTAGTCTTACAATAAGTTCATCCATGGTCATCTCTTTGCGTTTATGTTTTAAATAATTTTTGAAATCTTTCCAAGTCGATAGTAATTTTTCTACTAACGCAGCGACTTGGAATGACTCGCTAAGAGACATACCTTCAGCATGAATATCATGCAAAATTAATTGAAAACTTTGAACTTGAGAAATTACCATATAGGAGTCTACCATAACAAAGTTTATAAATTTACCAACAACAGATTTCTTTGTGCCGGCATCCTCTGTCTTGTATTATTTCTCCAAAGAATCTCACAATTCTTTTGCCTGTTTTCAGATGACTGTAAACATTATATAGCATGTTGTCTATGCTATTGAGGATGTAGTTTCTTCACAGAATGTTTCCAGGCGTCTACAGTGGCAACAATTTGCCGATCACTTTCATCCTCTTTAAGCACTGGAGACTTTTTACGGAGAAATCAGGCGAGATTAAGAGTTGTAAGATAAAACAACATTTTCTGTTGCCATCTCTTAAACTCGGTGCCATTAAATTTTTTCAGTTTTTCTCTATGATTTATTGGAACTTGAACATGGTTTTGGATAGGGACTAGAGTCGGTGTAACAATTGGAGTACCACTTTCAGTTGCAGTAGCCATCATATCTGATTACAAAAATCAGAAAAATCAAAATACAAATTAATTTTCTAGTTACTAAAACCAGAAAATAAATTATAATACAAAATAATTTTATTTTTCCTAGTTATTAAAACCATAAAAATAAAACACAACACAATAATTTTCTTGTTAAAAAAACCAGAAAATTATTTATTGGATTCAAATAAAAGCAAGTTTATAAAACGAATTTTATTAATACAATGAAGACACAAAAAATAATTTGTCTTAAGATTGTTGGACAATCTTCTTGTATTAAGAATAATTCTGTTTGTGTACTTAACAGCAAACATAACATAGTAGAAATAAATTAAAAGAAAGAGTTTCTGAAATCTATTCAATTACATAAACTAAACAGAAAATGAAAATAGAGAATGAGAGAATGAGAGAAGAAAATAAAATAAGAACAGAAAATACTTACAGAAAATATTTTCTTTAGAGTGATCAAATCCAGTGTTTAATAGATTCGTCCTCTCTAGGGTGCTCATAGAATTTGGACGACTATCTCCCAGAATGAAATGATTTTCAACAAATAGTAGCAACACTACAAACTGTTTGTACAACGAACATACTTTGTGTTTATACACTTTCACACAGAATACAGAGAGCAATGACAGATTTGAGGATGAAAATTGAGTGAAAAACTAAATGAGGGACTTGTCTATTTATAGGTGCAATGGTGGCTTTTCAATTTTGAATTCAACAAGTAGCAAACCTGTTTGAACATGTATAATACTTGTTCGGTTTGAATTAGACAGATACAAAACCTGTTTGAATTTAAATTAAACAGATAGGAACCTATTAGGCTTGAACTGAATAGATTTGAATCTGTTCGGACAGATATAGAACTTGTACAGAAAGTTTAAAGAGGTGCAAGCCAAAATTTGAATTTTTTCCAACCGAAATTTGAAAACAAAAACCAGACATAATTTATTTTCCAACTAAGAAATAAAATTCAAATTCAAATGTAATGTTTTGGCCCAAAAAGATAAGAATTGAGCCGAACAAGCCCAACCCAACACGCATTCGTGCTTAAGCCCAACCCAACTCGCCCGACAGGACGGCGGCAGCGCGCGTGCGTTTGTTTTGGGTCCAATGGATTTAGCCCACTTTGCCCATAATCTCTCCCTCTATACAACTTGAGTGCCTCTTGGGACCTACCCCAAGTTCCAAACCCAAGCATTATAAACTCACACAAAGTTTGCCCACCAAACCAATGTGGAACAAATCTTAACGCAAACATTTATGAAAATTCCACCAAACATACCATTTTCATAGAGCCCATTTTGGCATCAATTTCCTATTCACTCGATAATGGTTTTGAGCAACCAAATATACTACGTGAATTACAACGTGGCATAGAACGCGTTACCATTTAGACTCGCCAATTTTGGCGCATGGGTCCCACCTAAAAATTAGACTAAAGTATGGAAAAAATCTTTTTTTTCCAAAACCATTTTTCAAACCATTTCTAACAAATTAGGGCTTATATTTTCCACACGAAAATACCAAAATATCAACCCTTGCCATTTGATAAAAGTATTTCCAAATTGAAAACACAACAGAATATCTAAACTCTTTTTCAATTGAAAACACACACAGAATATCTAAATAAATTGAAAATACAAAGTTTTACAAATTAGTAAAAGTGCTCGCGGTTTGGCGGTTCGGTTGCGGCCAAATGAATCTCAAATCCGCCATCCGTCTAAAACTAGGTGGATTGAAAAAAATCAATTCGCAACC